GTTCTCTCTCTCAACTCTGCTCCTCCCAGCACATCCCTCACTTTCCCTTTCCCCTCCTGCAGATAAGTTTAAATTACAAGACAAAGGGGGACGCCTTGGTGGCTCAGTCGGTTGAGCATCTGACTTCAGCTAAGGTCATGGTCTCGCGGTCTGTGGATCTCAGCCCCATGTAGGGCTCTATGCTGACAGCTCAGAGCCTGGAGCCTGTTTTGGATTCTGTGTCTCTCTTTGCCTCTCCCCCCGCTCATGCTCTGTTTCTCAATCTCTCTCTCTCTCTCAAAAATAAACAAACATCAAAAAAATAAATAAATAAATTACAAGAGAAGGAACGAGCAAATCCTGGGCTCACAGTCACACAGCTTTACGAGCATTCCTTGGAGCCACATCACAGCAGAGTATTATATCAAGGCCCAAAGACTGTGAGGAGCCCAAGCAGCTCTGTCTGAAGGTAAGAGACTGTGACACAACTTTTGAGTACCGTATTTAGTTTCCAAGCCATCTTGGAAAGTGGGAAGAACTGAGGAAGGCAGCTCTCACCAGATTCCAAGGAGCCTCTGGCACTGTTCTCACCCCCATGCCCAGAGGTGGGTGGAAAAACCATTCTTTTTTCATACCGGGAATGAGAGTCTCATACCCACAGATGCCCAGAAGCCCTCTCACCAGTCCTTTTGCAAGGCCTCTCCTCATGACAAAACCAATAGTCTGCCTGCTCTGGACCTCTCTGTCATTTAGCCAATTTAGTCAAATTCTCTTATCCTACTGGGAAGAAAAGGGCTCCTTTTGTGGTACAAAAAAAGCATGTGAAGGGAGCCCACATATGATTTTGCCCCAGGATCCAATTACACAACACTGAAGTTTCTTGAATAGTTTGAATAACTAGTTGTAAAACATAATGAAAGGATAAAATTTTTTTTTCTTTAAACAATAGCCACCAATCTTCAGGGTAAAGACCGATTCTGAATTCCAAGAAGGGTAGGATCAGTTCTCGCCCCTCTTCAGATCCCGGTGGAGCTAGTTTGCATTTCACTCCAAGTGAAAACACTTTGAACAACTTCCGGTGTAGACCAGTTACATCATATATAGGGCCCAGTGCAAAATTAAAATGCAGGGCTCTCTGTTCAAAAATTATAAATTTTTAGATGGCAGTAGCAGAGCATTAAATCAAATGTGGGACTTTTCTAAGCACGGGGCCCTGAAATGTGTACAATTTGCCCATGAAGCAGGCCCCATTCTGCAGGCAGCTCTCTAACCAGAGGTGCTCACTGACAGGTCAGGGTCAGAGAAGGAAATAACCATCCTGCCCCAAAGCCACCCAGGCCAGAAAGATGAAACTTTCCTTCCAACACATGCCTTTTATTTACATCCATCTCTCCCCCAGTTCTTTGAGACATCTTATATAACTGGAAGCCACTTGGGGAGGTTTTCCTAGAATAAAGGAATAGCCTGCTTAAAGGCTAGTAAAATATTCATTCTTGCCGGATAGAAATTACTTGCAGCTTTCCCAAGTTTTTAATTCCTTCAGCTGCTACCCATTAAGGTTTACAAAAGTCAGCATCTGACTTTTAGCCTAAATTCTCTGAACAAAGATGAAGGTCCCTCAAGCCCATGGGCCTCAGTGGGAAACAGCTACATTGGCTTACTTTTGCCACTGAAAAAGCAAGTGATTACTGTATTTTGTGTGCATGATGTATCTGACCCCTATGTTGAACTCTTAAGAGGCTTTTAATTCTTGCACTGGTTCCCAGTGCGCAACCAAGTCATTACAAACAATGCCATTTGCAGGGCGCCTGGGTGGCTCAGTCAGTTCGGTGTCCGACTCTTGATTTTGGCTCAGGTCATGACCTCACTGTTAGTGGGATCAAGCCTTGCATCAGGTTCTGTGCTGACACTGCCGAACCTGCTTGGGATTCTCTCTCTCTCAAATAAATAAATATTTTTTAAATATAAGCCATTTGCTTTCTCCTTTTGTTACATCTCATTCTGTCTCGTCTTTTCACATTTGCTATAATGCAGTTTCCTTTACATTTTTTTAATGTTTATTTATTTTTGAGAGAGAGAGTAAGCACCAGCAGGGGATGGACAGAAAGAGAGGGAGACACAAAATCCGAAGCACGCTCCAGGCTCTGAGCTGTCAGCACAGAGCAGGTGGGGTTCGAACCTGCAAACCGCCAGATCATGACCTGAGCAGAAACTGGACACTCAGCTGACAAAGCTACTCAGGCGCCCCTATGCAGTTTCTTTTAAAATTAGCTGACAGATGAATCTTGTTTTATGGGAAACTTGAAAATTTGAGAATAAAGCTTACCTAAGGAAATAAATCCCTAGGAACAATGAAGAAAATTGGGGGAAAAGGAGGATTCATTAGGAGGGGTTACTTTATCAGATATCACAATATCTTACTGATGCATGGAAATTAAAATGATGACACATTCTGGCACAGACAGAGCTTCAGAAGAAAACAGAATGTTCAAACGAACCAAATTTGTACACATTTAGTATAAAATAATGTAGCTTTTCAAATCAGTAAGGAAGTGATAGATTTAGTAAATGGTGTTTCAAAAACTTAAAATGAGGATTAAAAAATATTTATTTGAGAGAGAGAGAGGGGGAGGGATTAGGGGAGGGGCAGAGAGAGAGGAAGAGAGAGAATACCAAGCAGGCTCCATGTTCAGTGCAGAGCCCCATACAGGACTCTATCCCATGACCGTGAGACCACGACCTGAACCAAATCAAGACTTGGACACTCAACTGAGCAACCCAGGTGTCCCAGTAAAATTGAGGAATGAGAATATAACTGTAATTGTAAATAAAGAATTACAATAAAACATTTTATTTTTTATTATTTTATTTTATTTTTTTATTACAATATTTTTTATTATTTTAAACCATTTTCTACATCTAAGATGGAGCTCTGACAACCCCGAGATCAAGACTCACATACTTTACCAACTAAGCCAGCCAGGCGCCTCACAGAACACATTTTAATAATCTTGGGATATATAAGGCCATTCTAAGTGTGAGTCAAACCCAGGAACCCATCAGGAAAAGATTGTTTAAAATGCCTATTTAACACATTAATGCCTTAGTACACGGTAAATGATCACAAAGTTTAAAGACTGCAAACAAAATAGGAAAAGTTTTTGTAAAATATAAAATGAAGTGTCTTTACATAAAGTATTAAAAATTTCTACAAATCAATATTAAAAAGATAAAAATCTAATAGGAAAATAAGCAAAGAGGGGCACCTGGGCAGCAGAGTAGGTTAAGCGTCTGACTCTCGTTTCAGCTCAGGTCATGATATCGTGTTTCATGGGATCGAGGCCTGAGTGGGGCACTGCAATGACAGTGCAGGGCCTGCTTGGGATTTTCTCTCTCCCTTTCTCTCTGCCTCTCCCCTGCTCTCATGCTCTGTTTCTCTTTCTTTCAAAATGAATAAATCAACTTAGAAAAAAATAGAAAAGGAAAAATAAGCAAAGAGTTTGACAGACAATTCATGAAAAAAAAAGTCTCCAATGATCATATGAAAGGTACTTAACCTCATTAAAACGATAGGTAGGAAAGAGTTTAAAAGTTTGGTCATTCAGGGCGCCTGGGCGGCTCCGCTGGTTAGGCATCCATCTCCAGCCTAGGTCATGATCTTGCAGGTCCTGAGGTGGAGCCCTACATCAGGCACTGGGCTGACAGCTCAGAGCCTGGAGACTGTTTTTGATTCTGTCTCTCTCTCTCTCTCTGCCCTTCCCCCACTCACACTCTGTCTCTCTCAAATAAACATTTAACAACAACAACAAAAAAGTTTGATCATTCTCAGTCCTAGTGAGGAAATATGTTTGGGTAAAACCTATTTAAAGAATAATAGGTATACCAACCAAAATTTAAAATGCACACTTTGACCCAGTGATTCTACTTCTAGAAGAACAGATTACAGAGAGGAGTGCCTAAAAATCTATTCATCCCAGCCTTGTGGTAAATGATCTAATTGTTCATCAGTAGGGTACTGGTCGGATAAATTGTGGAATGTCCATGTAATCCATATAACATAGGAAAAGCATAAATTAATCTTTATGTACTGACATGGGAAAAGATGTCCAGAAGTGCACTGAGAATTGAACAAATCAAGCTGAAGAATAGAACAGAGAGTAAGATTCCACTTTCTCAAGAACAAGATTGCTCAAAGGTTAAGGATATCACCTTCTGTAACTCTCAGTACTAAATTGCTCTTTATCTCATTGGACATTGCCTTGGCTTATTTGCAGAAACTCCATATGTGCGAGGACTTTGCCTGTTCACTGCTCTATCCTCAGTTTTGAAAACATTTTGGGTGCTTCATAAACATTAATTGAAAAAAATGGACATCCAGAAACGTCCATATATACGTACCTCAAAAAGTTATGTTTTAAAGAATGTTGATTTAAGGGAATAAAATTCCCATGATGTGACACTAAATGTTAAAACAATTTATATTCACTCTTCCATGGCGCCTGGGTGGCTCAGTGGGTTAAACCCTGGACTTTGGCTCAGGTCACATGGTTTGCGGGTTCGAGCCAGGCATTAGGTTCTGTGCTGACAGCTCAGAGCCTTGGAGCCTCACATTCCATGTCTCCCCCTCTCTCTCTGCCCCTCCCCAGCTTGTGCTCTGTCTCTCGGTCTCTCTCTCAAAAATAAATAAATGTTAAAATCTTTTTGAAAATATATTAGTATCTCTTCCCAGTGGACAAAGTAGCTTTAGTTACATAATCTCATTTGGTCCTAATAAAATCCCTACGAAATATATAAGTACAGAGTTAATTAACATATATTTTCACTACAGTCAGTCTTTCAATTTATGGTCCCAGTGTTGCTCATTACTTTTTATTTCTTTTTTTTAAGCTCATTCCTTATTATTTTGCTCTCCAGACTCGTTTCTGAACACTGAGCAGTTTTCTTCATATATTTATGTGTATAAATATATATTATACAACATATATAAATAAATATCTGTATTTCCCTTATTTGAGAATGTTTCTCCCGGCCTCTCCACTCAATATACCTGCACTCACCCTTCAAGAGCCCGTTCATGCAAGACAACCGGCCTCCTTCTTCTTTCTTAAACTGGACACCCACACAGGAGACAAGACCCACCGCCCGCCCGCCCGCCGCTTACCCCAAAGTTCGCCCCAGAGGCCCACAAGGCCTCACTGGCTCCGCCCACGCAGTTCGCCGCGGGGGTTGGAAGTGCCCGCCCCTTCCGAGGAGTTTCCCAAAACCCAGCGCGGCAGTCCGCAGCCGCGCAAGATGGCGACTCCCATGCATCGGCTCATAGCTCGGAGACAGGCGTAAGTGAGGCCCCTAGTAGGGCCGCGGGGCGGGCTGGGGGCGGGGAGAAACGCGTCAGCCGGTGAGTGAGCAGGGGCCGGGATGCTCGGCTGGTGTCGGATCCTCAGTGCGGACGGGCGGAGGATGGTCGTTTCTCTCACTTGTTGCTGCTCCGCAGCGGCTCGGCCCAGGCGATAAGTTTGGTGTCTACGGGCTAGTGATTGCGTGGAAGACGGCTGCGTACGGTCTCCGGGGCGGGACCTAGGCTGCGAGGTGAGATAGGGGGTGTTCTGAAGAGAGCCTAACGTTTGCTTTCTGCAAAGGGAACGCCCAGGAGTTGGGCACCAAGTGGTGTGTGCCCCTTTGCCCACCCAGCCGCCCACCCCACGCGTGGCCGGGGAAGCCTGAAGCCCTGACCCGACACCCTCCATCTCACCGACGTAAACCTTAAACTCCCTGTGAAGTCTCCCGCCTATCTGGCTTTTCCTGCCCCCTTTCTATCGTCTTCCCTAGGAACAGCCTGACTGCAACGCCGATGTATCGCCTAAGTTATTTTTCTCACTTTTTGTGAATACTAATTCTCTTAAGTGAATACTACTTTATTCATTATCTGCCGCTCTCTGTCAGAATTTGGGTATAAAGAAAAGGAGATGTTCAAGACCGGAATTACTGCTTTCAGGAAACTTAGATTTCATTGGTGAAGAGGGTGGAACAGCTAAACATTTTAAGTGAATACAGTTGGTGATAAGAGCTTTGAAGGAAATAAGAGGTGATGGAAAGAGAAGGGTCTAGGTTAGGTTGGTTGGACTGGGAAGGAATGTCTGCAGAGGCAGCATTTGAACGGAGATCAAAAGTGTGAGAAAAGAGGCGCGCCTGGGTGGCTCAGTCCCTTGAGCATTTGACTCCTAATTTCAGCCCAGGTGGTGATCCCGGGGTCGGGAATGAGCCAGCTTTGGGCTTCCCCCTAACAGTGGAGCCTGCTTAAGATATATTCTCATTCTCATTCTCTCTCTCTCTCCCCCCTCCGCCTCTCTAAACAAACAGAAAAGAGCTAGTCCTAAGAGGATTTGGGGAAAGAGCATCCAGACAGTGACATAATTGCTTTGAGACAGGAAGAACTTTATAGTTTTTAAGAACTGGGGGCGCCTGGGTGGCTTAGTCGGTTAAGCGTCCGACTTTCGCTTAGGTCATGATCTCGCGGTTCGTGGGTTCAAGCCCCGCGTCGGGCTCTGTGCTGACAGCAAGCTCAGAGCCTGGAGCCTGTTTCAGAATCTGTATCTCCCTCTATCTCTGACCCTCCCTTGCTCATGCTGTCTCTCTCAGAAATTTAAAAAAAAGAAAGAGAGAGAGAAAAGAACTGAAAGCTGGGGGCACCTGGATGGCTCAGTCAGTTAAGCGTCCGACTTGGGCTTAGGTCATGATCTCACGGTTCGTGGGTTCAAGCCCCGCGTCGGGCTCTGTGCTGACAGCTAGCTCAGAGCCTGGAGCCTGTTTCAGATTCTGTATCTCCCTCTTTCTCTGACCCTCCCTTGCTCATGCTGTCTCTCTCAGAAATTTAAAAAAAAGAAAGAGAGAGAGAAAAGAACTGAAAGCTGGCCACTGTGGCTAGTGAGCGAGAGGCAGTGCATGATGCAGGGATCATCCCAGATGCCCCTCTCTGGTAAAGCCTTTTTTGTTCTACCAACAGGTACACCGAAACTACCATTTTTTTCCCTCTCTTGGCATTTCATGCTGTTAACATTTGCAAGTCCATAATTTATTGCTCATAGTTAGCTTAATGTATATGCATATCTTTATTTTTACATTTCTGTTTTTTATTCTTTTTTGTTGTTCTTCTCTCCATGAATTCTACCTGTCACACCTGAAGAAAAGAGTTTCTTGAGCATATGGATAAACACCTAGGAAGTCAGGGTAGTATGCCTCCTGGAGGAGAAGGCTTTGAAGTCAGACAATTCTGAACTCAAGAATAGAGTGACGGTAACACTTGGTAGGTGTGCTAAATTATGTCTCCAGGGTCTACTCTCTGACTCTCAGATTTGATCTTTCAGGTGTTGGATCCACACTTGGATAGATCTACTCTGTTGGTCCCAAGACGGCTGCACTATCTAGAGTCCTTTATATCCTCTCAACTTCAAGTTGATGGCATCTCATTTCTAGATTGAATCATGTCTATGGGATTGTCATGCTTTGATGAGCAGATCTCATTCTTTAACAGCACAATTGGATGGATCTATATAAATCAGTGATGAGCTAGATAGGTAGGTTAGATAGTAAATGCTAGATTGGTAAAACCAACTAATGTCCACTTAAATATGAAGTGAAAGACTTCGTATCTAAATATTGTTATTTCTTATTTAAGAAGTATCAGAAAGTTCAGCAAATGTTGTTTTTCTTTGGAATGCCTATATTTGGTAAATGGGTTACAAAGAAATAAAAGACAAATCTTTAGGCATTTCTAATCTTTTGGGAAAGAAATTAAATGATGTATGATAAAAAGCTGTCATGGTGTAAAGACTAAGTCCTCAGGGAGTTATAGAAAGAGAATTGTAGAAGTTAGGGAAGTCCAATTGAGTTTGGGGAATATTTGGGGGCAGAAAGCAGAAGAGGAGCCATTGTTTTTCATTTTATGTTTATCAAGAAGTTTTAATTTTGTTTATAAAGACCATATATTACTTCCATAACAAGTTTTAAACTATTTTTAAGTTAGTTATGTGAAGTGAGGAAGTAATACTGTCATTCTTTTTAAGAGTCTTTGGACTAATAGAGGAAAAATAATTCTTTGGGATGCTGAAGAGGTGGTACAGGAATTCAGTGTAAGGTTTAACAGAAGAATGATCCCAGGTAGTGCCCACTTGAGACCCCAATTGAGAGGATATTAGTTGTACTGATAAAAGAAAAAAAAAGAGAACCTAATTTGAGCTTCCCATTTAGCAGAGTTAACTTTAAATCAATTGAAATGAAATTATCTTTGGTTTGTAAATTGTAATTACATCTACCTATAAATAGATTTGTAGAATCTTGGCAGTATCTGGGGTCTTTTGCTAAACTTTCCACTGAATTCCAGTGCCATCTCTTCAGCATCTGGGAGAATTATCTAACTTTGGCTTGGATAGGAAGGACCTCCTGACGCAGCCTGTTACATTTCTCAAATCTATCAAAAAGTTTATGTTGAGCTGAAAGGAAAATAATATTTATGAAGCTAAACCCTGCTCTCTTCTACATCCTAGCTTTGGGCCTAAACTGTGATTTCAGTCATTTAAAAACCCTAGATACTATCCACTTGAATTGCCATCAAGTCAAGCTTCCCCTGTCTTGTACTTGTGTTCATTTTCTGGACTTAAAAGTGCCAGACTTACCTTTACCCTTGTTAAATTTCATCTTGTTAGATTTGACATTGAGTTTTAGCCTGTCAAGACCTTTTTAGATGTGATTTGGTCATCCTTTTATTATCCATTCCTCCTAGCTTTGTGTCAGCTATAGGTTTGATAAATATGCTCATCTGTATCCTGTTCTCATCCAAGTCATTTATAAAATGGTGAACAAATCCAGGGGCACCTGGGTGATTCAGTTGGTCAAGTGTCTGATCTCATGGTTCCTGAGTTCAAGCCCCACATCAGGTTCTGTGCTGACAGCTCGGAGCGTGGAGCCTGCTTTGGATTCTTTGTCTCCCCCTCTCTCTCTGCCCTTCCCCTGCTCATGGTCTCTCTCTCTCTCTCTCTCTATCTCAAAAATAAATAAACATTATTTTATTTTATTTTATTTCTTAGTGTTAAACAAATCCAAACTGAGGACCAAGACCTCAGGCCATCACTGGATACTTCTTCATACATTTCTTCAACCCATTAAACAGTACTCTTTTGTCCATGATGTTCAACTAATCTATTTCCAAGATGCCTTATTGAAATGCAAATACCCAGAAGCCACTAAGAGTATTAGTCTGTAATGATTTGATACTTAGTGATCTGGGCTTTCCTTTCTGAATGGATTTAATAATCCAGCCAGAATTTTGCTTGGAATAGATGTCAAGTTCACTGGCATAGTTTGTGGAATCTACCTTTCTTTCTACTTTGAAACTCAAAACAGCATTTGCGTACTTTCAGACTTTCAGCACCACTCATGTTTGCCAGGGTTTCGCAGATTACCAGCAGTACTGTCATCTAACCTGGAAAATCTCTGGTATGTTGGGGAGCAGTCAGTTGGGCCATGTGACTTAAACACATTCAGAATGGATAAAAGGGCCCTGTTACTCACCCTCACTATCTTGAAATTCAGTTCTACTCTTTTCATTCTGCATATAATTGTGTTTGAGTTAAGAATGAAGCAAAATGAAAATTATCCTGCTTGTTCTCTTAGCCTATAACATGACATTGAAGACTGATTTGTCTAGCATCCCAAGTAATGAGACTATCCCTTTTTTGGTTGATTGTGCTTTATTCCACAGTCTCCATGCTCCCCTTCCCCCGGTCCTTTGTGCTGTAGATGGAACTGAAACACAGAACAATTTAAATATTCTTGATATTTTTCACTACTTTCAGATTTTTTTGGTAGAATATTTATTTATGTGTATTAGGTTTAGATATTTCTTAGGCTTTTAGCACTCTTCTGTACTCATTAGTTATGTTACTTTGAAAAATATCTTTTCAAATTTGTTTTATGATTTCAAATGCAATCCATGTTCATTGTAGGAAAGTTATAGAATACAGATAAAGAAAAAATGTATTATAACCCTACCCCAAAGATAATATTTTTTCACACTTTTTTAAAAGTTTATTTACCTATTTTGAGAGAGACAGAGATAGTGTGAACCAGGGAGGGACAGAAAGAATCCCAAGTGGGCTTTGAGCTGCTAGTTGCCAGGCCAGACATAGGGCTCGAACCCACAAAACGGTGAGGTTTCACCTGAGTGAAACCAAGAGTTGGATACTTAACCAACTGAGCCACCCAAGCACACCAACCATTTTTTACATTTTAATGTATAACCTCGTAGGCCATTTTTTAACATTATAAATGGCCTCATAGT